CTGGAACATTGCTGCGGCGCACTACAATCTGCGAGCGGGCCTCCTGGGGCGGGGCCCAAGCACGAGACTGGCCCGGAGATCAGGGGACTGGCGCTGCGAATCAAGGCATATGTTTGCACTCGCCGTGAATAAGCCTTCAATGCACGATCGCGTGCGGCTTGAATGCGGATGCCACCACTCATGGGCGGCTGCTCTGTGGGCCCCAGGCAGACAGCGGCGACGAGTCCGTCGCGCCGAATGGAGGGGGAAAGAGAGGAGGGGAGGGGCCGCAACGCTGCGACGGATTCTCCCCTTCTTAAAACCGGCCGGATTCTTGCGAGGAGGCGGAGACCAAGAGGAGGACTTCGGAGTGGAGAACTTGGCTTAACCGATCTCTGGGCTCTGGAGGAGCCTTCGAAGGTGCACCTAGGAGCCTCGAGGTTGGGCCCCCGACCCTACGGGGTCATCTGAAGGCCTCGCGGGGCAGGTGGACACGGCGAAGCAGCTCGGCCCGGATTGGGAGGAGATCTGGCACGCAGGAGAGCCCCAGGGACTTCGAGGTCAAGATTGTCAGGTTCCCATGGGCGGCCCCCTCCCAGTCCCGACCAGTAGAGCACATCTGCGCAGTCTTGCAGAAGTTCAAAGCAGGCACCGCGATCGGCATCGACGGGTGGAGCCCGAAGGTTATGCAGATGCTCAGCGACGATGCCTGGTCCGTTTGTTGCCAGTTCTTATCGGTTTTGGATCCCAAATCAGTGCGACCTCGCGTTGATTGCGTTCCTTAAACAGTTCAGTGGAAGGTTCAGGCCCATAGGGGTGCTAGCAACATGACTTCGACTATAGGGGAGGATTTGGGGGGGAGGCGTCGCAATGGGAATGTGATCGTACTGTGTCGTGCGTGCACGGTGCCAAAGGCAAGAGTTGCGAGCGCGAGGTTCGGCAGCAGACAGCCGTCTCGGAAGCGGCTGCTTCGCTCGGAGCTTGTTCAGGCTCTGGCTTGGTCGATCTTGAGACATGCAATGATCAGATCCCTCGTGATGTTTTGTGACACGCATGTCAGAAGCACAATTCAACCGCAGGAAGGCCCGTTTCCTCCTCAAGGTTTACGGGGGGCCAAGAAGGTTGAAAGATCGGGAAGTCATATCTAGCGTCGTCGTCCTCATTCGCTCGATCACAGCAGGGTGCTCGTTCGCTACGACCTTGCTCAGAGTTGTGCTTCAGGATGCCCTAGAGGACATGCAGTTGAGGTGGCCGTCTCTTACCCTCTATGCCATGGTCGATGACATCACCTTTGCAGCGCATTCCAGACCTCTGCAGGCATGTAGAGAAGCTAGAAATGGCTGGTTCCAAGAAGAAGTGCCAATCCATGGCTTCATGCCCCACTTGGCAGAGAAGCTCGGTCGACATGTGCGCGCGTACAAGTTTGCAGTCTATTCCAGCGGGAAAAAACCTAGACCACGATGTCAGTCCGCAGTTCAGGAAGGGCACGGAGGTTCTCCAGGGGAGGGTCAGCAAGCTTAGGCGACGAACGCATCGTCTCCGAATGTTGTGCCATACTGCTAGAGAATTCGCGAGGGTACATCGGACGGGAGGGACGACGGCCGCTACGTATGGTGTGAGGGTGCTGGGGGTGACGGACAAAAGTTTAGAAGATCTCATGGCCGTTTCCGCGCTTGCCCGACGCAAAGCTAAAAGGCCGTTCCCGAGCCGCCCAACTTCTCCTCGCAGATCCAATGGACCTGGATCCAGCATGGGTGATCAATACGTTGCCGTGGGCCGCCTTGGTGCAAGCCATACACCAGAGGTGGATTCCAGCAGCCGCCATGCCGCGTAGTTGTTTCCGCAGCGTGCGGGGGTGAATCTCGAGGCTGGCCAGGCGTTATCGGTGCAGCACGTGCCGTCGTCCAGACCCTGCGCCGCGTGGGCTGGACGGCCAACTCTTTCTCTCTCAGTGGCAAGGCCCCCGGGGCTTCAGGTCGACCTCCAGGGGTTACGAGCATACCCGGTATGATGAAGGTTGTTCATCGAAGGGGTGAGGAGGCAACAGGAGTTAGCAACAGCAACACATCACGGATAGCAGCGTTTCGCGTTCCTCGATCCCGTGAAAGCGGAACGTACGCAACTTCGGGGACGGGCGGAGATTGTCCAGGATGACTGGTCAGTGTGCATATGGCTGGGGGGGCCCTGGAGTCAGGACACGATGCGCTTCCAGGAGAGGTGTTCCTTGCCCAGGGGTTGCAGCTGGTGCCGAAACGCGCCAGGGACGACCTCTCATATGCTACATGTCTGCGACGGGCTCGAGAGCTGGAGGCGCGAGCAGGGTTTCGACGAGCTGATCAGCGAAGGTCGAGACAACTCAGACACTGTTCTCACCACCTTCGGCGTGGTGGGCAACCACCGAGACGAGATGCCTCTTCCGTTCCAGGCCAGTGAGGGTCAACTGTGGTGGTATCCACCCCAGGGGAAAGCTGACCCAGCTCATCTTCATTGATGGTTCGGGGCAAACTCCAGATATCGATTGGCTGGCTCACCAAAGCAAGCTGGGCTGCAATTTCGATTCGCCCAGGGACCGAAGAGGTCACTGCAGAAGCTTATGCTCACTTTCCAAGTGCTGTGCAGTGTTCAGATCTCGCGGAGCACTACGCCCTGCGTCAGGCGCTTCACCGTTCGAGCGAGACGCGAGGAAACATCTGCTCATAGGCCTTGAGAAGGGGCCGTCGGTGAGGTGTTCAGTCCTATTGGGGAATCTGGAGGCAGATATTCTGGAAGCTGGAGGACATCGGCAAGAGACCACGTAGAGATCAATGTGATTCCTCCCGCAAGTCAAGGAATTGGTACCTTGATAACGGCGTTCCTGTATACTGGTGTCTTGGGAACCGAGTAGCTGATACATACGCCAGGCTCGGAGCTGTGGGTCACCCCTCTGTGGCCCATGTAAAGCAGCGTACATTTGGCAGACAGACAGTTCGGCTATCAGGGGGAACCCTCAAGAGGCTCAGTGATTCGAGCTTTCCAAATGTGGTGCCTTCGCAGAAAGCTGAAGCTAAAACACCCAAGCCATTCATCCTTGGTCCAACAGAACCAGTGTTGCAAGTGTTGCAACTTAGGCGAGACCCGGCTGACAAACAACATCTCCTGCACACCACGAGCGGTGTGTGGGGTTGTAGGCAGCGTGGTAAAAGCGCGAAGAAGCGCAGTGTTGTCGCTCAAGAATGTTGCCCAAGCATCCCGAGGGTCCTAGCTAAGGCGCGTGATACTCACAGGATGTGGCACATGGGGCGTAACTAACATCTTTCACTGCGCTGGGTGTGGCCGCCACGCGAGGCGACAGGTCAAGGACTTGGCCGCGCGATGTGCCCCCCCCCCCCCCAGCGAGGCAGGAGCGAGAGCACTCAAGCAAAGAAGGAGGTCGGAGTCCCATTTCCCATGCGCTGAATTTCCTTGCTACAGGCTACCTTCCGCTGATGGATAGTCTTGCCACAGGCTCCAGAGGCTCCAGGGGAGGAGGAGGAGGAGGAGGAGGGGGAGGAGGAGGAGGAGGAGGAGGAGGAGGAGGAGGAGGAGGAGGAGGAAAAAGAGGCAAAAGAGGTAGAAGGAGGCAAGTGGATGCTCTCAGGCAATCTACGGAGATTCTCCTGTGGGGTCCTACCGTAGGAACATTTTTCAGCGGGGCGCTTCTCGCGGCACGCAGGGGTGGCCCTCGGCAAGGGTGACATCTGGTGCGCGGCTTTCTGCGAGGCTCTGTGGCGCCGCGACGACGCCAAATCCATGCGCGCAGCCCGCTGCTGGGGGAGCACTAAAAAAGGCACTCCGCCAAAAGGCCACTCTTACGCGGAGCCGATCCTCCCAAATCTCCCTGGGTCTCCACCTTGCGATCCACCCGGATTCCATGGAAGATTGTTTGTTTTCGAAGGCAAATCGATCCGGTTGGGTTTCGGCACCCGAAAGGCGCTCCCCCCCCAACACCTCCTGGGGGGAGGGGGGGGTGGCGCTCTTCTCAAGGGGCCCAAGGACACATCATAAATACACACAAATAGCGAGATGCCTCAGATTAGTCCAATATTTTCTGGGTGTTTGCCTTCCCCCTCGCTTCCCATATTTTTCCATATTTTCTGGGGAATCGACGATCAATTGTGTCTGTGTGCTTCCTTCCCTCCTGATCTTCGGGCCCAAGAGGCCCTCCGAAACGCTTCCGGGGCGCAGCGCTGCCCCGCCCGGCGTGCGGGCCCCCTTGGCCCAGGAGGAGTCGAGGCCCTCCTCCCCCTCCTCCTCCCCCTCCTCCTCCTCCTCCCCCTCCTCCTCCTCCTCCTCCTCCCCCTCCTCCTCCTCCCCCTCCTCCTCCTCCTCTTCCTCCTCCTCCTCCTCCTCCTCCTCCTCCTCCTCCTCCTTGGCCCTCTCAGCCTGGCCGGGAGCACGTGCCAGGGGGACCTGCACAGCGATCCCGGGCCCCGGCTACAGTCGAGGTGCCACCAGCAGGAAGGCCAAAAGAGGAGCGCAGCACCCGTTCGCCGCCAACGGCGCCTGGGCGCACGAGGAGGAGGGCCAGAGACACAGCCACGGAACGACCTGCGGGACAGCGAACCCCCTTGTGAACCCAGAGCGGTCCTGACTTCAGCCTCTTGGCTGTGGGCCTGGCCGGGATCGGTGCCGGTGTGCCCGTCGACGGCCCCCGACCTGCCGAGGGCTCCAAGCGTCCTCCCCGACATCGCTCGGACGTCCATTCCCTGTGTTTTTGTTCGGTTTCGTGCGTGGTTTTTTCGCCAGATGATCAGGGATGCTCCTCGATGGCCCTCGCCGAAGGAAAAATGCACACGTCCGAGCGATGCCAGGCCCCACCCAGGGTGGCGTACCCCCGTCGAGGCGCTGCGGGTGCCCAGCTCCAGCCACGGCGCGCGCGGAAGCCCCGCCTCGGGGAGCCTCGGGGTGGGCTCCCCGAGGCCCCCTGCGTGTCTCCACAGGCTACGTCTGCCCTGGGGCACGTTTGGCCTCGCCTCGGGGCTGTGGGGCGGCGGCCCCGCGCCTCAGACGTCGAAGACAGAGTTCATGCTCTGGCTGAAGGTCGTGGCAGAGTTGTCCGCCCCCACGAACATCAGGGTGTGCCGCCCCACGGCGATAACCTTGTCGGTGCTGGTGTCCTTCACCCGCGCCTCGGCCACGCCCAAGACGCTGCCGATCTTCAAGATCGTGGAGTCTATCTGGATAGTCCGGCCCACTTTTCCCACGCCAACGAAGCTCAGGTTCAGGTCTGTGGTGACGCCCTTGCGGCTTCGGCTGTCGTTGGCGCAGATCTGCATGGTCGTGGCGTCCTCTATGACGGTGGCGATGAGGCCTCCGTGCACCGTCTGCCCCTCCGCCGCCATGGAAAACGGATGGCAATCGAACTGCACAAGCGGGAACTGCCACTCCGCCTTCCACAGGTTGTCGGCGGTGCTGACCAGGGTCAGCCGCTTGCTCACCACCTTCGAGAAGCTGTTCTGCGCCACAGTCTGCTGCTTGTACTGCCCGAGGAGGTGCCGCAATCTGCAGGCAACCGACATAGTCCCAGCCCTCCAGCGGACTGACTTTTTAAATCCGTGGGCCCCGAGAGTCTGGATCCCTTCCCCAAGGCCAGTTCTCCATACCGACTGATGCTCTGATGGGCTCCAAGTGTGACGACGGCCTCTGGATGCCGAAATCGAGGGGACACGCCTTGATGGGAACACAATCCGAGATATGTCAGGGGCCGCGATCACTTCGGAAGGCAAGAAATCGGCACCTGGGCCCACGAGAAAGCCCCAGGCTGCCCCAGACAAGGCCCAGAACGCCTCAACGCGCATCGATCCTCGAAGTTCGAGCGTATCGCCAGGACTGTCAAATCACGTGCTTCTTCAACGCGCGCTGCCATGGTCGTTTCGATCCCTTTTCCCTGGGCGAGGGTTTCTCGCTCCGAACCAGGCAGGCCGCCAGGGGCAGAAACTTGGGGAATCAACTGCGAGATTGAACAAGCCCAATCCTTCCGAACTCTGCAAAATCTCGCCCTCCGCGGTCTCGCCGCCTCCCGCCCCTCACGCGCGGTGCTCCAAGCGGGGGGACGGCTACCACGCGGCGGGGCGGGAAGGTGCACGTCGCTCTTGCGCCCGCCATCTTCACCATCATTGGGGGGTGGAAACACGTCATTCTGGGGGACAGCCCAAGAAACTTAGTGTAGAATCGCCTTGGCGCCGTCCTGGGGTGTCCTGGGGGCTCTGGAAGGCTCTGTGGGGACTCTCTTCGGGCCTTCTTGGAGAGAACTTGGCGCTCTTTGGGACCGTCTTCGGGCGCCCTGGGGTCGTCAGGGGAACCTTTTGGGCCCTCGAACACCGCCTTTTTGGAACTGGGGCCGTCAGGTGGACCCTTCTTCGCTCATCGCCCGCCATCTTCATCATCTTCTCCCGCCATCAAAACACCCTCTCTGGTGAAAACGACCCAGGACCAGTCCTGGCAGCCGCAGGCCCGCAGAAACGGCGGCCGCAGCGCCTTCAGGAGAGCCGAACCAGGGCAGTTCGCCAATCGACTTGGCTGGGTGGAGTTCTGCCAACGTCCGAATCATTAGCACCACGACCGCACCCATCGCCTGCGTCACATCCCACCACCCAGGGCCTAACCTTGCATCTTTCGATCTTCCTCAGAACTTGTGCTAGCGCAAGCGTGCGTCTTCATCGAGGCACTTCAGGAGGACGCACGCGGTGTGAGATCGGTGGAGCTGAACGGGGTCACACATACACGCGCACATTCTGGGGGAGCCAAGATGTACCGATACCGATACTCCGCGGACCTCTCCCAAGGTGCGTTCTGCTCAGGACTCCGAAGCGGATCCAGCGGTGGCGACGAGGGTCTCCCACGAGGCCCCCCAAGGGGGGGAAACGAGGCAAGGGGTGGCGGTATACAGGGAGCCCACAAAGGACGTACGCGCCCAACTATGTACACGAGCACGGCCCCTCGATCCGCGAGGCCGGCCGCACGACACGAACACGCGCGCAGCGCGCGCTCCCGAAACCAGCGTGGAGCCATGTACGCGTGCGTCCTCCTCCTTCGCTCCCGAGGTCTGGGCACCCCTCCCTGCTCTGACCTCGGGCCAGCACGCGCCCCGAGGAGCGACCGACTCTTCCGTTCCGCACGCCGCGTGCCCGGCTATATATCGGGCAGGGCCCGCCCCTCCCCGGCGGCCGGGCCTCGCGCACCCGGGGCGGCCCCGCGGGAGCGGGGGGGAGCGGCGGGGCCGGGAGGGAGGGCGGCGGCCTCTCGGGGGGGGGGGGCGGCGCGGAGAGCCGGCACGGGAACGGCTGCGGGAGGGAGGCCCCCGAGCTTAAGGGGGGCGGGCCGCCGGAGGCGCAGGGGCGCCGTGCCACCGGGGCGTTTCGGGGGGGGAGTCCGCGGCGTCGGCCGGCGCGGGCTCCGAGGCGGCCGCGGCTCTCAGGACCCTTCGGTGGCAACTCGTGGGAGCCTCCCGTACCATCTTGTCGGCTCTTGCGAATCGACGCTGGTCGACGCTTAATCGACACAACGCGACGCTGAGTCGACGCTAATCGACGCTAGATATGTCTATCACATCGACTCCCAGACGCTGCGTTGACGCCAAAGACGGAATTGCGAAGGTATGCAAGGCTCCCATGATTTGCTATTGAAGGACCCTTTTGCATCGACGACGGCGACAGTCTCGGAATCTGCGATGGAGCTGCCGATGCTCTAGTGCAGTCAGGCGGAGGAGGTCTCAGACATTCGATATTGGTGCGAACTACCGCGGGCTTTCGAAGTCTCGACCCGTTCCTTGGTGGCAACCATTCGTCCCAGGTCCACTGCTGCCGTGGGGGCCCGACGCCCCTCCTCCCCCCGAGGCCCAATTCGAGTCTGCCTGCTTGCTCTGCTCTGGTCAAGACCTTTTGCCAGAGACCCCGTGAAATACGGCCAAGACAGTTCAAATCCTGAGGGTATGAGCCTACGTTTGCAGACTTGCCCAACGCAGGGAGAGGGAGAGGAGAAGGAGGAAGAGGAAGAGGAGGAGGAGGAGGAGCACGAGGACGAGGAGGAGGACCGTAGCCATTTTGGCTCAAGCCAGTTCGGCTCAGGAGGAGCAGCGTGCCCGAACCCGCCCCCTTTGGTCGCACAGGGCGGCACCGCGGCAGTGGCCAGGCGCGGCACCTGGCGATGGCGGCCGAGGAGCCCGCGAAGAACACTGCAGCCTCCTGGCGGCGGCGGGGGAGCAGCGGGGGCCGCCAAAGATTCCCCGCAGCCGCCGACCCTCACGCCTGCGCCAAGAGCCACGAGACCACAGGACCGGCGGCGCCTAGGCTTGGCACCAGCTCGGCACACCAGCAGAACGCCGAGACCACCCGCACACCGCAGAGACCGCCACGCCTGACTCGCCGTTGCGCGCCGGCTGGCGCACTCGGCTCAGAAGGGGCATCCTCCAGCAGCCCAGGACGTCTTCCCTGGCTACCGACGAGTGCTGCTACAACCAGGGGGGCTACCACAGCTTCCAGAAACTCTGCGAGAACCAAGGGGAGCTCCTACGGCTACTGGCGCGGCTGCGAGAACCAGGGGAGCTCTCACGGCGATTCGAGGCGCAGCGGGAACACGGGAAACTTCTACGGCCAACAGAGCAGCTACGGGGACGCGCAGACCTCCGACTTGAACCAGCTCTGCTACGACGAGGACCAGACTCCCTCGTCACCTCGGCTGGACGCGGATCGAAAAACCCAACTATGCTCCAGGAAACACCAGTTCGGGTCATGGCCATGAATCGGCTCACAGACAGGATCACCGACCTTCAGAACATAGTCAGACCTCTCTTGCCGTTGCCCGCCGTCCACTTCAACAAGGCCCCGGAGTTCGTCCCGCCAGGGCTTGCGGCTCCATTACTTTTCCTCGGGGAGGCGGTTGCCAAGAGGACGGCGCGCCTTGTGTAAGCCACCCGGAAGACCAGGGCGACGGCTACTCGGACAACATCCGCGGCTTTCCGCGAATTGCAACAGAGTCAGCAGTGGGCACCTCGGCGGAGGGCGACCCAGGGCCCTCCCCCCAGGGCACTGGCCCCAGGAGGCCAGCGGACCCGCATAAAGGGGGGAGGACCCGGCAGAAGCCGCCAGAAACGACAGCCGACTGCTGGCACCTGAGAGGAGGCTGGGGTACTGGCCCCCAGGGGCCAGCAGACCCGCAAGACCTGGCGATGGCCACACGTCTCCACCGCGGGCCTACGGGCCCTGGCCAACCGCGACGCCTCTGTCAGGTGCCGCAGCGCTGGGCCCTCCAACGCTCGCAGGGTGCCGGCCCCGGGTCCACCGCGGCGCCGCTGCCAAGTGTGGCAGAGGAGGCGGCTCGAGGCGCGGCCGAGGCCCACCAGGGCGCCTCCGTCAAAGGGCCGCAGAGCTTGCCCTCGCGCCCGAGCCGAGCGCGGCCGCGCCCGACGACGACCTCGCCTGCGAAGCTGCCCCTGCCGCCGCCGCGAACACCGAGGAGGGCTCCCGCTCGGGAGCCGCGCGCCTCCGACGCCGCCGAGAAGGGCTGCGGCAACCGGGCCGAGTGCCTTGCCGGGCGACGTCGGCGAGAAGGAGCAGCTCGTCCAGAGGCACGCTCGCAAGGCGCCCGCTCGCGGAGGCGCGGCAGCGCCTCCCGCGCCGAGGCCCGACGCCGGCCGACGCACAGAGGCTCCCGCTGGCCATCACGGGGCGATCACCGGATGCCCTCCAAGCGGCCCACCACGAAGCCCAGGCTTAAGCCGGGCCTGTCCCCCTATACAGGGGGATCTTCGAGGAAAAATGAAAAGTACCCCCACAAATAATCAAACAATGGTCTAAAAATAGTCTGGGGACTATTTTTTGAGTATTTGTTGGCCTTCTTGGGGTATTTTTGGGGTATTTTTTATTATTCTTCGAAAATCCCCCTGTATGGGGGACACTCCCGACAGAAGCCCAGGCGGACGAGAAGGATCACTGGGGGCGGCTCCAACCGCGGAACCACCCGCCGCCCCAGACGGCGGCTCCGAGCAGTGGCTCTTGCGACGAGTCCCATGGCCTCACTGCGCAGCGCGACAGCATTCTGGCCTGCGGATGCGGCTGGCAGCTATGCTCCGTCTTCCAAACCAAGAGGTGCATCTCTTGCGCCGTACTCAGCGTCTTGTGCGGCGCCACCTGCCTGGCACGGCCATCCACTCGCTCTTGCTGCAGGTGGTGAACCGCCACCTCTGCAAACAACGGCCCGAGGCTTGGGATGACTGAGAGCAGGAGCTTTTTCCACCTGGCCGCTCAGCCACGCGGGGAACCCTTCCCCAGAGCCTCTCTCCCTCACCTCCCTCCTTTAAGACAAACGATCTTCTCGGCCTCATCTCAACTTCCAACCGCCCGGCCACTATGCCGACAAGGCGAGTGACCGACCCCCCAGGGGCGCGAAGACAACCCTCTTTGCCCCGCGGCCCGCCGCGTCTGCGCGCGGACATGAAGACACCCGCGTTTCTCGCCAGACGCACCGCCGGCGACGCCAGCGAGACTCACCCGGCGCACCTGGAGCGCCAGGCTGCCGCGTCCCCTTGGCTCTGTTGCCCCGACACGCAGCACGCAGCACGTAGCGTGTCGACACGGAGCCCAACGCGTAGATGCGTGGAGCCCACACGCAACGTGCTGAAACACGGACGCTGTGAGCACAGTGCGTGTTGCGTATCAGACCGGGCGTATCGAGGCAGCTGAGCCCCTGGGGCCCTCCCGCGCGCCGCCACAGTGCGGGGCGGCGGTGCGGCCCAGGACTGCGCTGCACTTGATTGAAGGGGAACTGGGACACACAAACAAATACAAAAATAACAGGATTCCCAATATTTTCATATATTTTCTGGGCTTTTGTCTTCCCCCCCACTTCCCATATTTTCCCACATGTTCCTGGGAATCGACGATTCATTGTGTCTGTGTGTGTTTTCCCCCTCCTGATTGACGACGACAGGACGGGCTGGCCGCCAGAAGTACAGGGTCGGGACGGGGACGCGAGCCGCCGGCTGCCCACCAGCCCGCCGGGATGGCGGGGACCTCCCGCTCGCCGGCGGGCATCCCGTGGAACGGCTGCCCGTCCCGGTCCTGGGCGCCCGCGGGCCGCGTCGGCAGACTGCGGGCGCCCTCCCAGACCCCCTCGAGTGATGAAAAAATCATGACGTGCTGTTTTTCGCCATTTTCGGCCTCCAGGGACCCTCCCCGGGCCTCGGGAGCGTCAAAAAACGACTCTGGACGACAAACCGGTCCTGGAGAAGGGGTCGAGAACTCTGGGGTCGACGTAATGAAAAAATCATTACGTCGGGGGTCTGGGCTGGGAGGGCGGGGCAGGGGGGCATTTCGCGGGGAGCCCTGTGGACTGGACGGAGAGGCCTTCACGCCATCCAGCCTCCGCCGGGGCGGCCGTGGCCCTTCCCATCTTGCGGGGTGGAACGACCCTCGATGTTCAGGAAAGGCCCTCCCCTGGCGGCTAGGGGGCCGCTGGGGATTTTGATCCCCCCCTAGCGGCAACGGCCACCAGGGGAGGGAGATGGCAGCGTTGGAGACAAACACTCTTGCTCAGTCCCATCTCCCCAGAACGAGGAGGAGGGGGAGGAGGAGGCTGAGGAGGTCGAGGGGACGGAGGGGGGCGAAGAGCAGATGGATCAGGTCGAAGGGGTGCAGGGGGCGGTGAAGAAGCATGGGCAACAACCGGCTCAAGACTTGGATGTACTTTCGTGCTCCAATGCGCGGATGATCCTGACCACCCAGTACGATAGGATTTGGCTTCGAATGCATTTCGCCTTCCGCACTGCAAGACAAGGAGCTGAAGTTTCACTGGAGAGGTCGGAGGGCCGGGTGGAGGTGGAGGAGGAGGAGGAGGAGGAGGAGGAGGAGCAGGAGGAGGAGGAGGGAGGCTTACGAAGCTGGCTTGAGCCACCAGTCCCCCTCCACTCCTCTTCCTCTTTCGAGCGAGGTGGGGCCGAGGCGCCTCCGGACGACTCATGCCTGCTCTCGTGCCCACAGACGGGCACGCTCCAGACTGCCAGAGAAGAAGAAGAAGGAGGGCGGGGCGGGGCCGCCGGGTGCTGCCAGACGTGCCCCCCGCCAAGGGCGCCCCCCGCTCGTCGCTTCCTCTTGGAGCGCCGTGGGGCCGCCGGGGCCCCGCGAGGGGGTGCTCTGCAGCCGGGGGGGCCTCCCTGGGAAGCCTGGGGGCACCCTGGGCGGGCCCGCGGGCCCCGGAAACGGCAAGGCCGTTTTTTTGTCACCGTTTCCCAAAAAAAAAATGTCCCCTGAAAATGGAAACGGCAAACAAAAAGCACGGCGACCGGACACGGCCCCAAAAACGGCTCCGGGATTGGAGCCGGAGCTGGAGCCGGTCCGAAAACGGCAAAACGGAAGCGGTAACAAAAACGGCAAAACGGAACCGGTAACCAAAACGGCAAAACGGAACGGGTAACAAAAACGGCCCCGTCGTTTCCAGGGCCTGGGCGCTTCTGGCAACAGCACCCGAGCGGAGGAGGGGGGGCGGGCGGGGGGGCGGCCGGCGCAGCAGGGCGGAAAGGGGCAGCAGATGGAGCAGCGGGGCGCGCGCGGGCCTGCCCAGGCTCGGGGTCCGCGCGGCCCACCTGCGCCCCTCCCCCCCGATGCCCAGGGGCAGCGCCCCCGCTGCTGCTGCTGCTGCTGCTGCTGCTGCTGCTGCTGCTGCTGCTGCTGGGGGCGTGGCAGTGATCGGGAGCGGCCAAGAGGGGGGTGTCCCAGAGGGGGGGGCGCAAATCATGACCGGCGGCATGTGCGCGGCCCAGCGGGGGGGCCAGGGACGTAATGAAACAAGAAGGGGCGCCCTGAAACCTGGGGAGATATCATGGCCCCCGCCATGATATCCACCCCCCCCTAGTCATCACCCCCCTCTTTTCCGCCCCCGAAGTGAGCACCCAGGCCAGCACAGGGAGGTGCCTGAAGCGGGGAGGGATGGTCCCAGATGTTCGTGTTGGTGGCCCCTGAAGATGGGGAAACTAAAATGTACCAGTGCCACTACTCCCCGGACCTCTCCCTGGGTGCTTTCTGGCCCGGATTTCGAGGAGAATCCAGCGGTGCCGATGAGGGCCTCCCAGGAGTGCGACAAATGGGAAAATGGAGGAAGGGAAGGGTATCGGTATCGGTACTTTTCTGTCCTTCCTCTGATGGGACGCCCGGGTATATGACCACCATCACCGCGATCGCGGAGCCTCTTCCCTTGGTGGAGGCACGTCGTCGACATTGGTGCTGGCGCCAGCCTCGAGGGCTCCGACAGGCTGTTCCTCGCCCCAATTCGGCCGCCTGGGCCGCCTGGCTGCACGCCTCGCGCACCGCAGGCCCGCGACGGGCGGCCATCTTCGCGCCCTCGCGTCCCCCCGAGGCGTTCTTGGCGGCGCGCCGAAGGGGGCCTGGGGGAGGGGCGAGGGCTTCTCAGCAGGCTGCTTCTTAGAAGGCGCCTGCCCTACATCCACAGACAAAGCCCGCGCCTTCTGAGAAGCAAGTAGGGTGCTTCTCAGAAGCCTCCCCACTCCCCTAGTCCCCCCTGCGCGTGGCCGACATTCAGCGCCGTGAACATCGGGGGCGGCCAAGAGGGGGGGGCGCAACGCATGGCCGGCGGCATGTGCGCGGCCCAAGGGGGGGCCAGAGACAGAACGAAATCAGAAGAGGCGCCATATAATCTGAGGAACTACCATGGCCCACGCCATGATGTCCAACCCCCCCTGGTCCTCACCCCCCTCTTGGCCGCCCCCCCAAAAAAAGGAAGCAGAGATCTCTTGGCATTCTCGGTATCTGGAGGCCGGGTGGGGCCGCGGCCCAGGAGCCCTTCCCACAGACAGCCCGGGGCGAAGAGCCAGCCCTGGGAGAATGGGTCGGGGAGGAGGAGGAGAAGGAGGAGGAGGAGAAGGAGGAGGAGGAGGAGGAGCAGGAAGAGGAGGAGGAGCAGGAAGAGGAGGAGGAGCAGGGGGAGGAGGAGGAGGAGGACGTGGAGGAGGAGCAGAAGGAGGAGGAGCAGGGGGAGGACGAAGGAGGAGGAGGAGGAGGAGGAGGAGAGAGGAGAGGAGCAGGAGGAGGAGAGGGAGGGGAGGCAGGAGGAGGGGGAGGAGGAGGGAGGAGGAGGAGGATGAGGATGAGGAGGAGGAGGAGGAGGAGGAGGAGGAGGAGGAGGAGATGGAGGCGGAGGCCCTGTGACGAACAAAAACAGGCATCGGATGTCTGGGCTCGCGCCGCCGCCCCCAACGGGAAGGGCGGCTGCTCTGGCCCGGACCGCCACGCGCGAAGCGCGATCCACTTGCGGCGCCCCTCCTGGGCGTCACCCAGCGCCCCCGCCTTCGAAGTCCAAGCCGCGGCGCAGTGGCAGGGACCCCAGGCTGTGCTGTTGCATAGGTCGATGTGGACATTGCGGCGGTGCGTCTTCTCCCTCGCTCTGTGGTTCTTACACTTCTGGCGGCTTGGCGTCTTGCTCCGCTGCTTGGTGCTCGGTCTTCTTGGCTTCTGCGACCATCGCACAGGCTTCGGCGAGGTGTGTTTCAACTCTGGCCAGAAGGTAGGAGCGACCACCACAACCTCTGTCAGGGAACGAGGGGAAGAAGGAGGGGCGTCTCGAGCTGAAGAGAACAAACCATCCGGTATCTGTGCCTTGCACCAGGCGTGACAGGAGAGGGCTGCGAGGGGGGGGGGGGGCGCGGGGATGGGGTCATCCCGCTCCTACCGCTCCTCCTCGTCCAGCGGGCGGAGAAAGGCCGGGGGGCCAATGATGCCTTGCATTGAACGCAGAAGGGGAGGGTGTGAGGAGAAAGGAGTATGTAGGGAGGACGTTGTCGTTTTTTCGGCCGTATCCTTCTTCACCTGCCCCTCTTCCCTGTTTCTCTCTGGCAATCATCCTACTCATTCTTCCTCCGCTACTCCTCCCCTCCTCCTCCTCTTCCTTCTCCTCCTCGTGCTCCTCGCCTTCTCCTTCTCCTCCTCCTCCTCCTCCTCCTCGTGCTCCTCCCCTTCTCCTTCTCCTCTCCCCTCCCTTCCCGGTCCCTCTGACCCTCCTATTCCATCCAGTCCACTCCTCCCCCCCCTCTCCTCCCAGCACTCCAACCCCCGAGACTCGCACTGGCAGAACTCCCTCTGTCCTGTCCCCCTTATCCGCCTCGCCCTCCTCTGAGACGAGGACAGGATGACGACAACTTCGGGTAAGTCGAGCTCCGCGGGCACTCTGGAGTGCTCCGGGACGCTCCGAGAGCGTCCCAAAGCGCTCTGACTCTGTCCCCCGTCTCCCTTTCTCCTCCTCGGCTTCCTTCCCCACAAAGCGGCCTTGCAAATTCTGCCCCCCCCGCCCCCTGCCAGACGCGGATCACAGGACCGGGAGGCTGCCCTGAGGTCGCCCGCTGCGCTGCGCCTTCACAGGACCGCGCGGCGCTTTCTGCTGTGCGCCCCGGGGCCTCGAATCCTGCGGCGGATGGTTTCAACCCGTGGGTCGTGGGCTAGAACCATGTCCGTGTCCGCGGCCTCGCGGGCCCGGCCCCTGGGCCGCGACCCCGAGGATGCCGTGTGTTTTTTTGTCCGCGGATGTCCCGCGCGGAACGTATCCGTGCGACCGCGTGTAGCCGCGGGATCGCGCCGCAGAATCCAGACCGCGAGGGCGCGGACACGGATAACGATGCTCGCCGCTCGCGAGTGGGCCCGATCGAGCCCTGAACTCCCCTGAGCCCCTGGCTCCACGCTGGTGCTTCGTCCCGGGCCCGTTCGATTGCTGACGTCCCCGCGACCCTGGAAGCAACGCCCCGAGGCCAACAGATCGGAACATCGACAGGACGTCCAAGATCGCCCCGCCGGGAAAATCCAAGAACGTCCAGGATGTCGATCTCCGGCCTCGAGTGCCCGGGGGCCCCCGAGATCCCGATCCCCTTCCCCATCGTGCAAGGGGCCCGCTTCCCAGAGCGAGCCGTGCCCCTGACGTGGCGGGGGGCTCGCGGGGCAGGTCGTGGGTGGCCTGCTGGTGGACCGTGGGTGGGTCGCGGGGCGGGGGCCAGCAAGAACATGAACCCGCGCCACGGAGGAGCACCTCAGCCACGTGCCCAGGGCCTATGTAAGACCGGTCGGCCCCCTCAGTCTGGCATCGTACGCCCCCCCAGGCAGCCCGAAGGTACTCCCTCCTCCTCCTCCTCCTCCTCCTCCTCCTCCTCCTCCTCCTCCTCCTCCTCCTCCTCTCCGGCCACAACGGCGTTCTCTCCAGAGGTCGAGGCCGACGGGGGTATGGATCATTAGAACGTGGACTGGTGATTCCTCCTCCTCCTCCTCCCCCTCCTTAATTCCTCCTTCCCCCCCGGCCCCGGCGGATATCAGGAGAATGCGAACGCGAACCGACGACTGTCGGCCCAGAGCGAGCCAGCACGTTTCCAACATGGAGCGAATCAGAGTGACCACCCTGGGCTGGGCCCACATGGCGCAGAAAAAACCTCAGGCTGGGCCCCTATACTGGGCCACATCAGCAGCAAGAAACTGATAGTACGAACATAGCGACGACCAACGGATTGATAGTAGGCTACTGCGTTTTCTCGGTTTCGGCATCCTGGGGTTGTTCTCTCGCGCTGGGATCAAAAGGGGTGGATCCGGCGCGAAAAAATGGCCCCAGGGAAGTGTTTAGAACTCGATTCGGCTCTCCACCGCGTAAAATGGCACCTCGAAGCGCAGCCGTTGCAGCCTGCAACTTTACCTTACAACCGCTCTTCATCCTCCGCCTACCTTCTCTCTGCGTCCCACCACCTCAGCCGTCCCATACCAGACTGGACGCAGGACGGAGTGCAAAGGGAAACTGGCGTCTGGTACGCCCCCAGGCCTCTAGCGACCGAGCCGACGAAAACGCACCGCATTTTTGGTTGCCATTCTCAGGGGCGGCTTTGGGGGGCCACCGGGAAACGGCCCAACATGAAGAACCGGCCCCGGCCCAAAAATCCGATGCCTTCCCCGTCTTGCTGAATGACTGTTCTATCGTCCCGGTGCCAAGCGGAGGCCCCCAGAGGGCGAAAACAGCGAAACACGATCGCTATTGAGAAGAGGTCCCATGAGCGGCGACTCGAAAACACCGAGCCGTCGGATGTACTGCACAGTATGGGTTCCGCAGGGCGAGGCGTGGCACACGGAGGCGAGGCTCCACAGTGGGGTCCCTCCAGCAGGAAAAAAACATAAAAAACAAACGCCATAAGCATGAACTCTTGGCGCTCCGCGCGGTTTTCTTGGGTCTGCGCTGGAACCCCCTCCCTGGCGCGCGCGAGCACGCCAGGGGCGGCGCCGCTGGGGGGGGCCCCGCGCGGATCCAAGAAATCCGCGCGGAGCGCCACAAGTTTCTGTTTACGGCGTCGTTTCCTTTTTGATCCAGAGAAACGCCGACCCCCAGAAGTGACGACATCCCCAGACCCCCGACGTCGTGATTTGTTCATAACGTCGACCCCCAGAGGTCTCGACCCATTCCCCCCCAGGACCGTGTTTCCCGTCCCGAGTCGTTCTTTGACGGCCCCGAGGCCCGGTGAGGGGCCCCCGCGAAACACCTCCCGTCACGCTTTTTGTCATTGCTCGAAGGGGCCTGGGTTGGAGGCCTGGAAATGGGCACCAACACCAAAACAGGGGGTTGCCTCCACAGGGGGAAGACGATCCTGGATTTCGGTGTTGGTGGTAATATTTCGGTCACCTTGGACGCCAGAATATTACCACCATCACCGAGATTGGGATCTTCATCCCTCGGTGGAGGCACACCGCCGATCTTGGTGTTGGTGTCAACCTCTGGGCCTGCGACTGGGCCCCCTGGGGCGGGGGGGCAGCTCTCTGCCTCCGCCCGCCTTCCGCCACGGAGGCGACCGCCCTCCGCCTGCCTTCCTCGGGCCTCCGCGGGCCTGCGGCCGGCCGCCGAGGCAGCGGCGCAGCCTACCGCTCGACCCCATCGAGGGCGAGGGGCCCTCTTTGAAGGGGCCCTGGGACACACAAATAGATACACACAAATAAAAACATTCCCCAGATTTCCCCATATTTTCTGGGTTTTTGTCTTCCCCCCCACTTCCCATATTTTCTTATATGTTCTGGGCAATCGACGATTCATTGTGTCTGTGTGTTTTTTTCCCTCCAGACTCTTCTGGAGTGCCCCTGCCGCTTTACGGCAGGGATCCGCCGAAAGTCCAGAGTCACGTTGGCAGCAGAAGCTGGCCCACTGCCAACAAGAAGCAGCATATAGCTTCTGAGATCGGGTCGGGCCAAAGGGGGGGATAGCACAGGGGGGGGTTTGAGAATCAGCTCACGTAGCTGATGTTCCCGGCGCCTCCTGGCGCCGGAGGCGTCTATGTATCGAGGACTGGGCTCGTCGGTGGGGCCGAAACCAGCTGCATGCAGCAAATTTCGTACCCCCCCCTTTCCCAATCCCCCCCTTTCGTCCGGCCCGATTCCACGTCAGTGCGCAGGAGAGGTCCACGGACGGACCCAAGTCACCCTCCATCCGTAGGCATCCATCTCATGCGCAGCAGCATGCTCTCCCCTCCCCCCAATGCTGGGCTCTCCCTCCTGAGCATTTCTCGCGCTCCACGGCCCCGGGGCCTGGCAGGGGCCGGAGGCGGACACGGGCGGAGACTCCCTGCACCGTTCAGGGATGGACAGACCTCCCTTTAGCAAAACGTGGTTCAGTGAAAACGACCTGAGGCCCAAACCTGGCGGGCGCAAGCCTGGAAAATAACGGCCGCGGCGCCCTCTCGAGAACCGAAAACGGACAATTCACTAATCGACGTGTCACTGTTGGGGGTTCTGTCCACCCCCGAACTGTGCTCTTCCAGCACGCTGGAGGTTCCGCCCCCCCCCCCCCCCCGAAGAGCCCCAGACGCTCCCTGATGCGAGGCGACCGCCCCGCCCCCGCCGAAGCTTTGCGCATGGCCCGCGGGCGGCGTGGGCGCTGCGCGCGCGCGGGCGCCCGCCCCCCAAGCCGGCTGCACTCGCCGGCGGGAGGAGGGCGCGGGGAGAGAGAGAGGACACAGTGGCCGAGGGAGGGAGCAGGGGGGGAAGGCGAGCAGGAGAGCGACAGCTGTCAGCCACAACAGCAACAACAGCAACAGCAACAGCAACAACAACAGCAGCAACAACAACAACAACACCAACACCAACACCAACACCAACACCAACACCAACAACAACAACAACAACAACAACAACAACAGGCTGTCGGAGGTCCGCGTTCTGTGGGATCGGCACAGTGCGGGCGGGTGGGTGGCAACGGGTGGTGACCTGAAGAGAGGGCGAACGAAACACCCGAGTGGGGGGCCCTCTGAGGCCCCTGCTGGCTTCCCTGAAGGGGCCCTACAGGGCCACTCTAAGGGTTTCTGTCTTCACCCCCCATGCAGGCCACGCCCCAGTACCGCCCGTGGCGGCGCCTCCGGCGCCGCCCCATGGCGCGCTCCGGGCGCCGGGATGGGTCCGCAACCGATTCAGGAAGCTCGCGCGGACCTCCCACTGTTCGTGCTCGTGCAGTTTTCTTTTCGAGCACAAGAGAGAGCTCGGCTTCTCGCTGAAGGATTTCCATCGCAGAGGGCGTCGCACCCAATGGGTCGGAGGGAACGCAGGCTACAACGGAGGTTGCCTATTGTCCGTTTGGGTGAGGATGATTGTCTACTTGCGCCGTTTGTAGATGCTCGTGATAAGTGGGTGTCGATCGTCACTTGCTTTGGACTCGTCTTTTGTCCACGCTGGACCTGCCCGAGGATCTGCCCAGGCACGCCCAGTCAACGTGGGCGCGAAACATCGGAGCAGATTCGCCCTGTCAGATAGCTATGTTCGCCTGCGCTCTGTGCAAAGGGGCATGGCAAGTCCAACACATACATTTCCAAGTCGGGACTGCGCCAGCTTCTCGCGAAAATGATGTATGCGGATTTGAGGACCCCAGGGCCCGAGACCGGCTACCAGAAAACCCGACATGGCGAGAAGCTGGCCTCCGCGATTCTGTCGAACCGCTGGATCCCTGCCAAGGCACAGCAACGAGGTGAGGTGAAGGTGGTGTGGTGGTCACTGCGCTGCTGCAAGCTCGTGTCGCGACGACTCTTCCGTATTGGCCGATTCTTGGCCACTGACGGCAGTCAATCTTAAACGCCCGCAGCGGGGTCGCTGCCAGGTCGGGACGGCATAGACCTACCCTGGGGAGGACGAGTGCCGCCGCGCACTGCAAGCGCGCTCACGGATGCAAGCGCGTGGGCCCACGACCCGCGAGCGTGCGCGGGCGGATGCCCTCGCGGCGGGTCCCGTGCACGCCCCGCCGCCGGCAGGCGACAGAACGGCGCACACAGGGCGGCGAGAGGAGGAGCAGAGCATATGGAGGAGGAGGAGGAGGAGGAGGAGGAGGAGGAGGAGGAGGAGGAGGAGGAGGAGGCGTGCACATGGGGGTGGCGTTCCAAGAAGGCAGGGGCGGGCAAGGCCCACAGCTTCCGAGGAGCCTCCAGACCCTTCTAAGAAGGCCCCAGCCTTCTTAGACCCCCCCCCACCTGCTTCAAGGCCACCCCCCTCGAGCCACTCCCGCGTGCATGCCGCCCAGAGGTGCATGGACACGCGCATTTTGGGGCCTCCAGCGCGTCGGCTCAGGGAGGGGGGGCAAGCATCCGCTCCAGCATCTCCACCGCGCCCTCGCCGTCGCCCAGCAGCGCGGTCTGGAGCAGGCAGATCGCCTCGAGGAGCAGCAGCAGCCAGCAGCAGCAGCAGCAGCAGCAGCAGCAGCAGCAGCAGCAGGAGCAGCAGGAGCAGCAGGAGCAGCAGCAGGAGCAGCAGCAGCAGCAGCAGCAGCAGCAGCAGCAGCAGCAGCAGCAGGAGCAAGAGCAGCAGCAGAAGCAGCAGCAGGAGCAGCAGCAGCAGCAGCAGCAGCAACAGCAGCAGCAGCAAGAGTACGAGCGGCGGGGGGATGTGGTGAGAGGCAACCGCTGCAGAGACGGCCCACAGTCCAACTCGCCTCGAAAGGGCCCCCGGCCACTCCCGCGCCCCGCAGGGAGGCTGGCACCGCCCTGCACTCCCAGTGCCACGGCAACGCCTCTCCCTCCGGCGTGAAATGCACCAGAACGACCTCCACCTCCCCGCCCGCAACCTCCCGCAGCAGCCCGCGTGCGGCCGCCGAGGCTCGCAGGCCCGCGTCGGCCTCGCCCGCCGCGCCGCGGCCGAGCAGCCGCAGCTCCAGGCAGCAGTCCGCGTGGTACTGCAGCGGCGGCCCACGGCCGGCGTCCGGCCACTGCACGCAGACGGCCTTTCGGCCAGGCATGCTGTCGCTCCTCGGGGCCGAGCCGCTCTGCCGCCGCGCGCGCGCCAGCGCCACCTCGCCCGCGACCAGCGCCAGCACCTGGCCCTCGGTGGGCGCGCGGCCCGTCAGCCGCGTCGCGACCCGCTTCGAGAGAGTGACCACCTCCCCGCCCTCGAAGACCAGCGAGAGCCGGCACTTCCGCCAGGCGCCGTGGGCCCGAAAGAGCGCGGCCACGATCGCCCGCGCGGCGGCCGCCAGCCCCCTGCCGTGCGCGTCCTCGCCCGCCCCGCTCTCCAGCGACTCCAGCGGGGCGGCCACGCGGAGCACGAAGTTCGGGGGTTTGCAAGAGGTGTCCCTGGCCCGCGGTGTCCCCAGGGTTCCCGAGGAGGCCATCGGGGCCTCCAGAGCACCCCTCGCCAGGGCCCCAGGGGCTCTCGAGTGGAGCGGAAAGCTGGTGGCAACTCTTGGCCAACTAGACATCCGGAGCCCCGCTTTTTTCGAGGCTCGGGCCCCCGACTTTTCGATCACTTCCCCGGGGACAGGTTTTTCGTCCTCAGCCGTTTCTGTTGACGGCTCCGAGGCCCAGCGAGGGCCCCGAGAGGCCGAATACTGTCCCAAATCTCTGCGTCGGTTTTCTCGAAGCGCTCGATGCCTGGCTGGAGGAGTAGGAGGAGAGGAGGAAGAGGAGGAGGAGGAGGAGGAGGAGGAGGAGGAGGAGGAGGAGAATGGAGGATGGATGGAGGATGGAGGAGGAGGATGGAGGAGGATGGAGGATGAGGAGGATAGAGGAGGAGGAGGAGGAGGAGGAGGAGGAGGAGGAGGAGGAGGAGGAGGAGGAGGAGGAGGAGGAGGAGGAGAGGAGGGAGGAGGAGGAGGAGGAGGAGGAGGAGGAGGAGGGAGGAGGGAGGAGGAGGGAGGGAGATGATGATAATGGTGAGGATGAGGAGGATGAGGAGGATGAGGAGGAGGAGGAGGAGGAGGAGGAGGAGGAGGAGGAGGAGGAGGGAGGCGGAAGAGGAGGACGACCAGTCAGGGACACCTGTTGCGACCCCCGAGAAGTGGACCCGTGTCGTGCCGTCCCTCGAGCAGACGGGCCACGCGAAGCCGGGCGGAACCCGGGGCAAGCCCGCCGCGCTGGCCGCATGTCCGTCGGCCTCCTTGAGGGGCAACGACAGGGGGCGGGCCCAGCTCAGGGGGGGAAGCCTATCGCCGACTACGGCGATACATCGCCGAGGGGTGGGCGATGCAGTCAACCTAATATAGCAAGGATGCGCGGTAAGGATGCCAGGGCCTTGTAAAGCGTTTGTTTGTGCGGGGCTGGCCAGCGAAAGTTGCCAGGGATGGGCCGAAGGGGCATGGATGCGAGGGTCACCTCGGAACGTTGCTCATCCTTGATTTGCGGGTGGGCTGTGGGCCACCGGCAGTGAGTCCGCATGCTCCTGGGAGGCGTGGGCCATAGCAGGCCCCCCCTCGGCGAGGAACGGGCGCGATTGGGGTCGGTGCGTCCCCTCTCCGCCTATTATATATATATATATACATACATACATACATACATACATACATACATACATATATATATATATATATATATATATATATCCCCTCTATCGCTGCCCCTGGAGAAACGGCACCTCGCCGAGAGTGCACCCCCAGGGCGCTCTCTCGGTGGGCTTCGAAAAGGTGGGCGTCCAAGAGGGGAGGCACGTGCGCAGGCGGAGGCGGAGGCGCGCGCGCATCCCCCCCCCCCCCGGGCCCAGCCCGCCCCTGTCGTTGCCCCTCGGCCTCCGCGCGCGCGCCGCGGGGCGGCCACCAGAGCGCGGAGCCCCGCGCCAGGGGGGGCAGCCCGCCGAGCGCGGGCAGCAGCAGGCCGCAGCGGTGCCAGGCGCGGAGGCGGGCCACGACCTTGGAGGTCAGCTCGCCGACGCTGCCCAAGCTCAGCCTCAGGACCTGGGGCGAGGAGCCGGAGACTCCGGCAGCAACTCACGGAAGCATCCCATGTCCTCCTGATGGCTCCTACGAGCCGACGCTAACTGACGCAATCGTCGCTAAACCGGCGCTTTCTCATCGATGGCTAGACACTGGTGCACGCTAGTGCACCCTAAAGACGAACTTGCAAAGGCATACAAGGCTACCATGAGTTGCTATCAGCGTAGACCACAAACCAACAAGGCAGAGTCCGCAGGCTTTGGATAATCGCGGCGAGCGTTGCGGGATCTCTGATCACACACACAAGCGCACATACACACACGCACGCACGCACGCACGCACGCACTCACACACACACACACACACACACACACACACACACACGCCACACACCATACACCACACACCACACACACACACACACTCACACTCACACTCACACTCACGCTCACACTCACACTCACACTCTCCCTCACCTTCACCCTCACCCTCACACACCCACGCACGCACGCACGCACGCACGCACGCACACACGCACACACATAAACATTCACATACACAACCTACACACACTACACACACTACACACTGCACACAATACACACGCTACAGACAATACACCCACTATACACCCTCTACACACCCACTACACACCCACTACACACTACACACTACACACAGGCACACACATACCTACACACACACTACACACACTACACACACTACACACGCTACACATATGCGCGCGGAATGCATGTTCGACGCCCCCGCGGCATTAGGAGCGGCGATAGCGTGGAGTCCTTGGTTGTTGGGCCCCTCCTGGGGCCCAAGACTTGGTCGAAACCGGCGCGCTCGCTCATCATTCGCACCGGGCGTACAGCGACATTCCCGACAATCGACCGATGCTTCGGCCAACGCCCGCAGATCCGCCTCTGTGCCACGAGGCGCTGCGAGGAATGTCTTCAGGTCCCTTCGAGTTCCGTGTGCTGAGCACGTATGCTACATAATGTTTGAGGGACTCAGACCCCTGAGTTCTGGGAGCTCTTAGGCGCTCGTGTCTTATGTCGCGTGACTTCTCCAGAGGTCAGAGGGCGCGAAGGCAGCCGAAGAGGATCCAAAGCGAGCCTTCCGACGATCCAAGAGGGTTCCAAGTCGGCCCACGAGGCCCCAACTCAATGATCATCCTTCGATGTTTGACGGATTTCGGGTTACTTGCGCTTGCGAGTCAGACGGCCGAAGAGGCCCCTAAGATCGCGCCAAGACGGCCCAAGAGACTGCCAAGAGAGCCCCAAGACGGTCCAAGAGGAAGAGGCCTCCAAGAGTTCCCCGAGAGTCTCCCAGAGGCCCCCAAGAGGCCCCGAGCTCCCTCGAGAGGCCTTCAAGAGGCCCCCGAAAGGCATCCCAAGATACCCCTGCAGGCATCCAGGAAGCTTTTGGCCCGCAACCCAGGCACGGTGGAGGGATGAGCTCAAGGCCATCGGCCGACATCTGAGGATACGTTTTTCAATCCGCGGCCCAGAGTTCCTGACCAGGTCCCCAAGACCATTCTCCCACCCCGAATCCATGTTTGAAGGTCTTAGGGCTCGGAAAATGCCCGGATTGAACAAACTCAGTGCTTCGGATGACGTGTGTGTGTGTGTGTGTGTGTGTGTGTGTGTGTGTGTGTGCGTGTGGGTGTGAGGAGGGTATGTGTATGTGTTTGTGTTTGTGTTTGAATTCGTGTGTGTGTGTGTGTGTGTCGGCTTGAGGGCTCGGCCGTCTAGACGCGCGTGCGCGCCCGCTTGTCTGACCTTTCTACGCCCTGTCGCTGCGCGCGGGGCCGTGACGCCCGCCCTAAAATCAGCCTGGCGAGAAGCTCAACCGTCTGCAGTTGTGGGCACCGTCGTTGTATGCATCGCATTCGGTGGAGCTCCAAATGGGGCTGCCAAACGTATGAAGGGTGTGCCAAAATGGGTGTGGTGGGTGCATGCGAACGCTGGCATGTGGCCCTTCGGTGGGGCTCCCGAACGAAACGTGTGAGGGGTGTGCCAAAATGGTTGACTGGTTCGGAAGGCGGAGGCAGGGATCGGAGGAGGAAGGGGAGGGAGGATGGGCAGCAGGATGCGGAACGTGGGGCTCCCTGCGGGGCCACGAAACGTGTGAAGGGTGTGCCAAAATGGGTACGGTGGGCGCATGCGAACGCTGGCATGTGGGCCTTCGGTGGGGCCCTATGGGGTCCCGAAGTGTGTGAGGGGTGTGCCAAAATGGGTGTGGTGGGCGCATGCGAACGCTGGCATGTGGGCCTTCGGTGGGGCTTCCTATGGAGCCCCGAAGCGTGTGAGGGGTGTGCCAAAATGGGTGCGGTGGGCGCATGCGAACGCTGGCATTTGGGCTTTCGGTTGGGCTCCCTGTGGGGTCACGAAACGTGCGAAGGGTGTACCACAATGGGTGTGGTGGGCGCATGCGAATGCTAGCATTCGGGCCTTCGCTTCATTCATTCATTCACATCATTGGCACCGATGTCCAAGCACGTTCAGCTAGCAGCATAACTGTGAAGCTCGACACTCTAGCTTAAATCGGAACGATGTCCCTGCTTAACGGCGGGCCTACAAGCGGAAACGTGTGAGGGGCGTGCCAAAATTGATGGGGTGGGCGCGTGCGAACGCTAGTCTTGTGCGGCCACGAAACGTGTGAAGGGTGTGCCAAAATTGGTGCGGTGAGCGCATGCGAGCGCTGGCATGTGGGCCTTCGGTGGGGCTCCCCATGGGGCCACGAAGCATGTGAGGGGTGTGCCAAAATGGGTGCGGTGGGCGAATGCGAACGCAGGCATGTGGGCCGTCGGTGGCGCTCCCTGTGGGTCCACGAAGCGTGTGAGGGGTGTACTAAAATGGGTGCGGTGGGCGCATGCGAACGCTGGCATTTGGGGCTTCGGTGGGGCTCCCTACGGAGACACGAAACGTGTGAGGGGTGTGCCAAAATGGGGGCAGTGGGCGCACGCGAACGCTGGCATGTGGGCCTTCGGTGGGGCTCCCTATGGGGCCACGAAACGTGTGAGCGGTGTACCAAATTTGGCTGGCATTTGGGCTTTCGATGGGGCTCCGTATGGGGCCACGAAGCGATTGAAAACTGTGCCAAAATGGGTGCGGTGGTCGCATGCGAACGCTGACACTTGGGCCTTCGGTGGGGCTTCCCAAGTTCCTAACGAAACATGTGAGGCGCGTGTCAAAATGGTTGACTGGTTCGGAAGGCGGAGGCAAGGATCGGAGGAGGAACGGGAGACAGGATGGGGAGAGGAGGAACGCGGGGCGCTGTCTTTTCGAAACGAGGGCCCAACACCACAGGATGGATGGATGGATGGTGTGTATGTATATATATATATATACATATATATACATATACATATATATATATATATATATATATATATATATACACACATGTATTCCTCTCCCCAGGCCTCCCAGTCCGCCAGTTCGGCGGCTCGAGCGAACGCCGCCAGCTGTGCCTCCTTGGGGTCCTTCGGGCACCCGAGCACGAAGACCCCTCGCCGCGCTGGGCGAGCGGAGGCATCTGGCACCTCAGGGACACCAGAACGACCAAGGCTGGCTCGTGAAGGGCTTAACGCTTCAAGAGTCTCCCTCGGCTCCCACCCGATCTTCCGCGGTTTCTCCCGTGCTCTCCAGACGGCTCGGACTGTGTCTCGGGATGCCTGGGCTTGCCCCGCATTGCGCCGAGAGCTGCGCACCTCGCTGCACCTGCGCTTCCTCGCCGCAAGCCGGCCGAAGCAAGGCCACCGAGCCCCGAGGGGCTGCCCCTCGGCCTGGCCGTGCGCCTGCCCGCCCCAGCCGGAGCCGATCGGCTGCCCGCCCCCTGCGGTCTCGACACCGGGCCCCGAGCCGAGGCCGCCCACGGCGACGGTACAGCCGACGTGCCGGCCGACTCGGCGGCGAAGCACGAGACCGGCCTAAGCCGACAGACCGCAGACCACCTGAGGTGGCGCAGGCGGCGCGGCAACGACACGTCAACCGACCGAGGGGCCCGACCAGACACGACCGGCTGCGACGCAGCTGGCTCGACCGGACCGCGGGCGCCCCTGCTGATCCAGCCAGCCCCATAGCCTTCCCCATTTTCTCGAGGAGCCCCAGGAGAGGCCGCAAACATCAATATCCTCGTCCTCGTCGTCGTCGTCCTCCTCCTCCTCATGGGTGGACTGGACGCGTTGATCGGGGACCCGATCCATCTCCCCCACCAAGATCCATCGAAGCATCGGCGGCCGAACCGCCGGACTGATCGAGCATGGCCTGTCCCCCCGCCGTGGCTTAGCGGACAGGAGGGCGGAAGACAGCAGGGGCGACAACGACAATGAAGATGACGACCACGATGGCGGCCAAGCGCGGAGGAGGAACGAGGACTCCTTCCTCTCTCCCGCCTCCTTGTCGTCTGCCTTCCCCCTCTTCCCACGCCGTGGGGCCCTCTGAGTCCGGCACCACCCTGGACGCAAAACGCCCGGCGACCGGCAGCGGCGGGCTCCTCTAGAGCGGTGTTTTTGCTGCTCGCTCGGTAGAGCGCAGAGGATCCCCCCACCCCGTTGCACAAGCAGATGGACGACCCAAATTAGCATGAAGGAAACGGGTCCTGGAAGCGCTTCGCCGTTTGTGGGCCCCCTTGGGCTCTCCACGAGGCCCGGGGCCGTCAAAAACAGTCCATGACGAAGACCCAGTTCCGGGGAAAGCCTCCGGGGATCTAGGATTGCTTTCCCTCAAGGCACCACCCGTCTTCATGGCGAGAAAGCTTCTCCCTACCCCCTCCTCCCCCTTCTCTCCTTGCCGTCCTCCTGCCCACCTCCTTATCCCGCTCCCCTCCGCGCCTTCATCGCCCTGCGAACAACAAGCAGCGCAACATCCGACCAGGTCTCCACACGTGCCTGGTTCAGGATACCAGCTCTTCCAAGCCAGCTCGTTCTTCCCCCTCAGGGGTCCGAGCTGGGAGGCGGGCGCGGGTGGTCCGCGCCTGTCTCAGCCCGGGACAGCTCCAAGATGGCGCCAAATGGCAAAAGGCCGCCCCTGGATGGCGCCCGCTAGCCCACACAGGCCCAATGGCATCCAGCTTGCCTCCAAACTGCCTCAAGAAGGGTCCAAGATGGCCCTGGTCCACCCAATGTTGTACTCACACTGTTGCGCTCGATCAGCCAGAATCGTCCAACCAATTGCTTGTTTCCCTGGACAGCTTGTCCGCAATCGCTCTATATAAGTTGTTTAAAAGACTAATAGATGGATTGCCAGATCCGGAATCCATCGGGCGTCGTGGCCTCCCGTGTCTTTCCATGACCCCTGGCAGGCGCGCTGCCAGGAATTGGAGTCGGGCGGGCGTCGGGGCTTCTCGAGGACTCCTGTGGCCTCCTGTTGCCTCCCGTTCGCATTCCCACTCGCAGTAGCGGTCGCATTCTCAGTAGTATAAATAGTAGTACTCGCCTTCACCTGTGGAAGGCTTCTTAGGGTCTGGCGCAAGGTTGACACTATTCAGTGCGATTCGTCTTGTCGTTTTTTTTGCAGCCGTTGACCCTCAGAAGCCGCAAGATGGCCCCGAAGTGACCCATCGAGGGGCCCACGGAAACCACAAGATGGCTCCACCTGAAAAACAGAGGGACGAGAAGGAGTGCAAGAGGTAATCGCTCGCGCCCTTCAATGGGCACCCTACTTTGACCCATCCTTCTATTGCCGGTGGTCTCCTATTGCCGATGGTCTCCAAGATGCTCCAAACAGGAGCCACAGAGAGCCTTAAGAGGCTCAGCGACCCGTATAGGCCTCCGTGGGATCCCCAGGATGCCCCAAATTTGTTGGTAAGGGGGCTGCTCAGGCTGATCACGTTCCTCCTTCGGTTTGGCTGGTGGCACTCCTCTTTGTTCTACTACGTTGCGCTCCTTCACTTTGGTGTTGTGAGCAACTCGCCTGGGAATCGCTTGTGGATGGAGTGGATGGGAATATACGCAAGTCGGGAGATGCGGGTGGACAAATGAAGTAGGAATGAATGTAAAGTCGATTTGGTTTCGGTCAGCTGTCTCTCGATGTATTCAGGGGCGTCGTTCTTCGAATCTTGAAGCAGGAAGGCGCTTGAAACAAACACTGAAATTATTTTAAACAGAAATGAGTTTTCCCTCCCAGATCGTCGACGATTTCGGTGTCTTTCCTTTGCGGCTGGGGCCCCTCAAGTCGCTCCTCTCGTCCAGCAGCGCCAGCGTCGAGCCCCCTTCTCTGCCCAGGCTCCGAAGGAAGCTCGGGGCTTCTCTGAAGTGGGGTCACGAACCAGCCAGTACTCCGACGTCGCGAGTGTGGCAATCCCTGCGTTCTGCAAAATTCTGGCCTCCAGTGACCGCTGCCGGGCCCCGAGGACATCAAGTGCGAGCCGCGACGACACACCAGTCACTAGTCCAGGTCCAGGTGGAAGGGTCGGAAGAGAATCACAAACCGGACATCTGGCGGCTGGGCTCTTTCGAGCCGCGAGGCCCCCCCAACCTCCCTACCCCCTTTCCCCACGGCCCGTCTTCCGTCCCGGGTCGGTGTGTGACGGTCCAGAGCCACAGACAGGCCCCGTGAGGCCGATTCTGACAAAACACCGGCCGCCCATATCTTAGTGAGCCGGCGGATGTCGCGGAAGGGAGGGCCAACAAATCGGCGCACGGAGCCCGCGTTTCGTGGACACCGAAATGTGCCGAAAGCCGTGCCTGTGCGAAGGCGTAGGCTCGCGAGCAGGCTCTCCGATCCGCTCTCACCCACCCGTCAGAAACATCCACTTCCTCCAGCTCCTCACGTAAAAATTCGCTTCTGGCTCTCGAGCATCGAGGACAACAGGATTCAGAGAAGTCTCCCGGGGAAGTCTGGAATCAGGCTTCGAGGCGGCACTGAAACTTGATGCTTTATGTTTCTTCTCTTGCTTCTCCTCCTCCTGCTCATGCTCCTCCTCCTCCTCCATATTTCACTTCTCTCCCTCTCCCTCTCCGTCTCCTCGCCTCCTGCTTTCCCGCTTCCCCTCCTCCTCCTCCTCGTCCTTCTCCTCCTCCTCCTCCTCCTCCTCCTCCTCCGTCTTCCCCCTTCTCCCTCGCCTCCCCCTCGCCTCCCACTCGCCTCCTCCTCCTCCTCCTCCTCCTCCCCCTCCTCCTCCTCCTCCTACTCCTCTTCCTCTTTCTCTTCCTCTTCCTCTTCCTCCTCCCTTTTCCCTCCTCCTCCTCCTCCTCCTCCTCCTCCTCCTCCTCCTCCTCCTCCTCCTCCTCCTCCTCCTCTCTCTCGCTGCTCTAGCCCCCCCCCTTCTGAGCAGCCCCGAAAAGCTTAGCATCGTCTCGCATGCTCCGTCCCTCGAGCGGGACCCGATCTGTGGGAGCAGCGCCGCTCCCTCGACCAGCTCGCCCTCGGCAACCCGGCGTAGGCGGCTGAGAACGCCGAACTCCGTGACGGCGTCGCCCTCTCTGAAGAAGGAGGGGCCCAGCATCCACCAGTGCCTCGTGGAGGGCGAGCAGAAAGAAGCACCAAGAAAGCTGCGTCATCGTCGAGCTTTGACGAAGCGAGCAAAAACTGTCATTGCATACCAGTGGACGTGTCTTGCTTGTCATCCCTTGGAGTAAAGAGAACGTTTCCCGAGGGAAACCGCTCCCAGACTCTGGGGGGGTCCTTCAAGACCTGCTTGCAATCCTGGATCATTGTCTGACGGTCCGGGTCCCAGGGAGGGCCCGGGGAGCCCGAAAAGGGCCCAGTAACTCAGGACCCGTACCCTTCATGGAGAACCCTGTTGCCTGCTTGGCATCCTGCGACCGTCCTCGAAGACGACGACGGCGGCAGAACGGCTCGCTGCGCCGAGGGCGTGGCTGCCGACGACAGCCGCCGCTCCAACAGCCGCCAGGACCGACCGGGCGAGGGCGTCGCGGCGATTCCCGTGGAAGCTCGCTGGCGACGACGACGCAGTCGGCCACGCGTCGCGGTAGCTGCTCCCCTTGGCCATCAGGACGAAGACGACCTCGGCGTCGAGTATTCGCCGACCCCTTGAGGCACTTGCGTGCGAGATGTCGGCCCCGTCCCCGGCCCCTCCGCAGGTCATCGTCGTCGTCGTCATCGACATCGTCCTCTTCCTCCTCCTCCTCCTCCTCCTCCTCCTTCTCCCGCTGCCCTCCCGCGTCCCGCCTCCCTCCTCCCGCCTCCCCCCTCCCGCCCCCCGCATCCCTCCTCCCACGCCCCTGCTCCCGCCTCCCACCTTCCCTCCCTCGCCCTCCTCCCCGAACGGCGCCCGCGATATGAGAGGCAAGTCAACCCCGCCCGAATCCATCGTATGTGTTTTAACATGTGTTTTCGGTTCCCGATTTTCCTGCCACGGAACATCCAATGACGATTCAAAAGGACACGTATACGGCCCAAGAGGCGCCCCGTATTTCCACGTCCCAAATTGACGCGAAAGGGCCTGACGCGAGCCCTATATGAAAAATCACAATTTCCCCAACGCGAGCTCAAGAACGCCGCTGAATAACCCCTATATAGCTGAAGAGACCCTCGAGAAGCTCCTCATACGCAGCACGTCGTCTTCCTCCTCGTCCTCTCGCTCTTCGTCCTCATCCTAAACATCCTCCTCCTCCTCCTCCGTATTTTCCTCCTGCTCGTTATGCTCTTCTCCTTCGCATTCCCATAACATATGCCAGCGCCCGCCGGAGACATCCGCAATATCTAGGGCCCAATGTAGGCTCTCTTAGAGCACTGCCGGGCCATTGTACATCACCATTGGGGCCCAAGAAGCAAACTCTGATAAACACCCCCTCCAACTCTCCACGTTTGCGGGGACGTCCCGCGCGGGATGTTCGGTGCCCGACTGTACCTACAACTGGCCCGTTCGATTATGGCGAGCGTCTCTCCCCTCCACATGTCCCGTCTCCGCTATTATTATGAATATCAGAATGAAGATGCGACAGGCCACGCAAACCGTCCAGGGGGGCATATGATGCGCCGCACGCGCGGCCCCATGAGGCGGCGACGATGCAATATCGAAAGGTGGGGCGCTGATGGGGGTAAACAGAATACCGACAGAAACCAACATAAGGAATACGGTCAGGACACAAGAGGGATATGAAAAATACCATGGAACAAGACGAAGACGAGAACGAAAGGGCGACGGGGACGTAGACTGTGAGATGATGGCGGCGGACTTTCTTGTAACTCTGTCTTGCAGGGAAGAGCCAGGATGAGACTCATGGCCGGTCTTTTGCCATCTTCCATGCAGCGATCCGCGCGGAAACCAACATGTCGCAGGCGGTGTGCCAGGTCCGCTCGCGGCCCCCGGGGTGAGAACGTCCAAACCAAGGCCGCGGATCACGAGCGCGTTCTCCGAGGCCATGGCCTCGGACAGCCTGACGTACGCGTGCAATCAGATGCTGCCTATGCATGCCGTGAGGGGGAGCAGAGCGCCGACCCCTTCGAGGACGCTCCTCCTTTGGACGTCCTCAGGTGCGCAACGAGATGGCGACGGTCGCGCACTGGGCACCACCCAAGGAAGGCCAATACTACGTTGGGTGGTCCGTGCGACGCCGCTCCGCTGGACCTCCCATCAGCTCACGAACGTGACGACCACTGCGCAACTGGCGCCATCCGAGGGGGGCGATGTCCAGTTTGGGGACGTCGCCCCGCTGGACCTCTCAAGATCTCATGAGTACTGGCGACAATTGCGCAATTCGCAGCATCTACGTAATGCCTACGCTTGTATAAGCGCCCGTAAGACGCCGCTCTCTGGACCTCCCAACACCGCTCACGGAAGTGGCGACGGTTGCGCAATTGGCAGCGCCTAGAAGGACACATTCTAGACTGGGTGCCCGTATGACGCCGCTCCGCTGGACTTCCCAAGAGTTCACGAATGTGACGACCATTGCGCAGGTCCAGTTTGGGGGCGTCGCTCCGCTGGATTCCCCGAGATCTTATCACATTGGCGACCGTTGCGCATTGGCAGAAACGAGGGAATGGCAATGCTGATTTGGGTGCCCGTAAGACATCAACCTGCTGGACCTCCCAAGAGCTCACAAGAGCGGCGACTGTTGCGCAATGGGCAGCGACCAGGAAAAGGCCAGTTCAAAATTGGGTGCCGATATGACGCCACTCCGCTGGATCTCCCAGAAGCTCACGGCTGTGGCGACAAGCGTACAGTTGGCGGGGGGGGGCGGCGGGGGGCAGGTCTATATTGGGCGCCCGTAGAACAACGTTCGGATGGACCTCCCGAGATCTCAAGCGGCGAAACTTGCGCATCTGGCACCACCCACGGAGGGCGAGGTCTAGTCCGATTCGGTGCCCGAAGGACGTAGCACCACTGAGCACCCGAAGAACTCACGAAACTGACGACCGATGCGCAGCTGGCAGCACCCAGGGGAGCCGAGGTTTCGCTGGCGTTTCTCGAAGTCAACGTCGCTCTACTGCAAGGGAACTCCCGCAAGTAGCGACTGTTGCAGAGTTGGCACCGCCCAAGGAGAGCGAGGGCTTGTTTGGGTGCCGGTGGGACGCTGCTCTGCTGGACCCCTCGGCAGGTCACGCAAAGTGGTGACAGTTGCGCCATTCGCAGCACCAGGGGAGGCGAGGTATAAGACGGGCAAGAGACAGGTAGGAGGCAGGAAGCAGGTAGCAGGAGGGGCGGGGGGCGGGAGGCGGCAGTGACATACTCGAAGCGACGACCCAACACAGGAAGGCTGGGGAACATACACTTGTTTTGCCTCGGTGGCTAGGTAAGGGAAGTCTGCGCTGGCGATGGGATGCCTAAACGCGGATGCCGTTAGAGTGAATTGTGCCACAATGCAAGAGGACCAGGGAGCAAACACGGTAGATGTTGCGACAGTCTTTTGGCCACCACGACAGTCAGCCCAGAGCAATTTAAGAGTGATGATTGTTGGCCCGGCGAGCGTGGCCCGGGGCGCAGTCCTCTCCGACGACGAGTGACGAGCGCCAGCGCCACGCGCCTTGCGCACACTGCTGCGCTGGCTCTCTGCTGGGCCCTTCTTTCGTAGGGGCGCCACGGAGTGCTAGCGATCGCAAGGAGCACAGTCAAGAACGGTGTACGTGGAATCGGTCAACCGCATCGGATCGGACCGTGTCGGATCCTGGCGCATCGGCACGGAGCCGACACTAAATCGGATCGGCTGCGCCAGGACGCACAGCAACGCCACGCAAGCGTCGGGCCGCATCGTATCGGCGAAACCCAAAATCGGATAGAGCCGCCCAGAACCGACATACGTATGTCTCTCTCTCTCTCTCTCTTTCTCTATCTCTCTCTCTGACTCTCTCTCTCTCTCTCTCTCTCTATCTATGCAAGTAAATGTACGTATCTATGAATCAGTATATGTGACGTGTATCGGTTTATGCATATAGAGTATCTGCCACCGTGCCCTTGAGGCACGAGTTGGAGTGTCCTCAGGTCCTTGGCCTAGTCCCTGAAGTCTCAGACTTCAACCCTGCTGATTCTTTAAGGGGCCCAGACCCCACAGCCACAAGTCTTCTGGGGCTGGTCGCGAGGCCCCTTGGGCTCCCCACGGTTTCTCGCGTGGCTGTTTCGCCCCCGAGAGGATCCCAAGACGGGCCGAGAGGGCCCCAAGAGGCGACCAAGACGATCCACTGGGGGCCACGAATCGCAGCACGGTCGGTCCAAGACACGCAAAGATGGCCCCAATTCGGCCCAAGACGCCCCAAGAGGCTTCCGACAGGCCTCCCAAGAGGGCCCCAAGAGACAAACATCGTTGATGCTCCTTAGGTCTTGAAGGGTGTTTTTTTTGTTATCGCCTGGTCCGCTTCCCGACGCTCCAAGACAGCTTCAGAGGCCCCCGAGATCGCCCCAAGACGACCCAAGAGATCTCCAAGATGGCCCCAAGACTGACCCAAGGGACCCGAAGACGGCCGAAGAGGCCTCCAAGATGGCCCAAGAGGCCCCCAAGACGGCTACAAGAGGGGGACCCAAAGGGGGGGCCTCAGATATTTCCAGCCCTGGCTCAGGCCTCCTAGGAAGCCCCAGGACCCCCCAAGACACGCAAAAGAGGCCCCAAGAGGCCTTCACACTGCCTCCAGGAGGCCCTCGAGAGGCCTCCCACGAGATCCCCACGAACATCCCAGAGGCCTCTCACCCACAACCCAGGCCCGGAGGCGGGGTAGGCCGAAGGCCATTACATCTGCGTGCAGACGAGAACCACGCGCGCGCTTCGCGCGCTTAGGTTCTAACCAGGCATAGGCTCAGGCTTCCTAGTGGAACGGAGGGGAGGTGGAGGGCACGAAAAGGAGTAGAAGGGATAGTGGGGGAAGGCGGAGGAGAGACAACGACTTTCGGGACTGTGGGGCGGGTGGCGATATAAGTCCTCGAAAGCACTTTGGACCTCTCCGGACAGCTTTTCGGGGCCTGAGGGGGGCCTGGTCTGGTCGTCGAGGGCGCGGGAGAAATAGTTTCGGAGTTGTCCAGGGTAGTCTGCGGACCGTCCGGATGAGGTCGCCTAGACATGACTTGCGATTGCGGTCCCGTGGTGGGGAAGGCGTTCAGGCCGTCTTGGACTGGTCTTGAAGTTTCTCGGGCTACGGCCGGGAACTTTTGCTGAGTGTGTCGCCACGGCGACCCCGGCGACATGCTATACCTTGCAAGCGCATGGCGTGTCGCTCCACTTCGCGGGGCGGGAGGCTCGGAACGGCTCGGGACGTTGACACGGGGGGACCGCGGAATGGATAGCGTGTCGCACCGAAGCGCGGTGGGCCAGAAGCGGCGGAGCGACCTGCTGTTCAAAAGTTCCCGGTCGTGTATACTCTTAGAGCTTCGTGGGGGCTTTGCTGGGCTCGCGTGAGGGCTGCAGTAGGCCTCGCTGGAGTGCTGTCTCGGGCAACCCGGAAACCATGCTGAACGCTCCACGGTCGCGAACCCGTAACCTTCGAACAAACAACTTCCAACGCGTCGATTACCTTGAGTCTCCTGGAAAACTCTGGGAATTCCTCGTAGGACCCGTTTTGAAG